TGTGCTTGTTCTTAATGCATTAAAGTGTTATTATGAGGGATAATAATCATATGTGTTTGAACTTTTCAAGAAATTTATGTGTGTTGGATTTCAAAAAAAAAATTTTATGCTTGTTCTTATTGCATTAAAGTGTTATTATGAGGGATAATAATCATATGTATTGGGACTTTTCAAGGAATTCATATGTGTTAGATTTCAAAGAATTTTTTTTTATTCTTGTTCTTAATGCATTAAAGTGTTATTATGAGGGTAAGACTTGGGGGTTGGAAGAAATTAACAAATGCTAAGGTTTTTTTTTTTTTTTAAATCAAAAAATCAGGAAATTTAGATTTGGAGATTGGAGCTCCCACAAATCTTGGGGTTAAAAACCCCATTTTGCTTAATATATAGTATAGACTAGTATATCACCCGTGCTATACACGGATTGTGTTTACAATCTATACTATATATTAAGCAAAATGAGGTTTTAACCCCAAGCCTTGTAGGAGCTCCAATCTCCCAATCTAAATTTTCTGATTTTTTGATTTAAAAAAAGAAAAACCATAGCATTTATTAACTTCTCCCAACCCCAAGTCTTACCCTCATAATAACACTTTAATACATTAAGAACAAGTATAAAAAAAATTCTTTGAAATCCAACACATGTGAATTCCTTGAAAAGTCCCAACACATATGATTATTATCCCTCATAATAACACTTTAATGCATTAAGAACAAGCATAAAAAAAAATTCTTGAAAAGTCCAACACATATGATTATTATCAAAATATTAAACTTTAATATAATATAATAAAAAAAAGGATATTTAATTCCTTGAAAAGTCTAACACATATGATTATTATTAAAATATTAAACTTTAATATAATATAAAAAAGGAAAAAAAAGAAGGCATTTTTTTTAAAAAAAAAGAAATTTAAAAATCGCAATTCACATATATAGATAATTGTAAACACAATCCGTACATAGCACGAGTGATATGCTAGTTATCTATATATGTGAATTGTGATTTTTAAATGTCTTCTTTTTTTCCTTTTTTATATTATATTAAAGTTTAATATTTTGATAATAATCATATGTGTTGGACTTTTCAATAATTTTTTTTATGCTTGTTTTTAATACATTAAAGTGTTATTATAAGAGATAATAATCATATGTGTTGGAACTTTTTAAGGAATTTATATGTGATTGATTTCAAAGATTTTTTTTTATGTTTGTTCTTAATGTATTAAAGTATTATTATGATGGTAGGACTTGGGAGTTGGGAGAAATTAACAAATGCTAAGATTTTTTTTTTAAATCAAAAAATTAGAAAATTTAGATTGGGAGATTAGAGTTTTCACAAGATTTGGGGTTAAAAATCTCATTTTGCTTAATATATAGGCGCTGTTTGGGAAAGACAAGTTCAGGCTATTATAGCTTCATTTTTGATATAAGCCAAAAAGCATGAACAATAGGCGGAGGTGCAAAACTTAAAAAAAAAAAAGAAAAAAAAAGGGTACACTGCCGTGACAGTGTAGGCACAGCCTACACTGTCAAAGTGACAAGTTATTACATCACGTTGGAAATTACAGTTTTGCCCCTTCTCATCAATTTAAAAAATTATAATTTTAGGGACAAATTTGTTATTTTAAATTCAAACATCATTTCAACATACTTTTCAATACAACAACTCAACTAAAAATTCATCTCATCTTTCTAAACACAAAAACTAAAATAACCTACTAAAATAATTAAAAAAGTTAAAAAACCTTTGAAATAGTCACTTTCCATTACGAGACCATAGTATAGATATAGATATATAGATAGATAAAAGGGAAGAACTCTTTCCTTACCGATTGAAAAAAACATAAAAAAAAGAAAATAAATAAAAATAAAGCGTGTAGGTGCAAGACATTAAAACGAATCTGAGTACACGAAGACCCTCCACGGCTCTGCATCTGCTGAGCACAACAACAAATTCAGAGTACACTGTCGGCTGGAAACTATTTACGCAAATGAAAAATGATTAACCCACTCTCACTATCACTCGCATCTCATATCTCTTCTGCTAACCTAAGCCTCCCCAACGAACCCTTTTCGCTAACCTAAGCCCCGTGCATTTTTCACCATCATGCCATCCCTCAAACTCTCTATGCTCTCCTCTGTTTACGCCTTGCCCTATAAATGGGCGCGCACAATAACAACAACCACCACCACCACCACCACCACTAGCTCCGCCGCCGTCACCAGAGCCAGAATACAGGGCCGATCGGTGGTTCTGAATATCAGCCATCAAGGGATAATACAGGCGGCGTGGAGGATAAAGCCGTGCGCACCCCTCATCCTCCCGGCGCACGATAAGGCCCCGTATAGGAAGTTAGGGTTTCGTGGTCAGAATTCGTTTTATTCTTCCGAAGACAGAGGAGTAGGGTCTGGTGGTGTAATGACTGACATGGGTTCAGAGAATAATGGCGATCAATGGCCGCCGGAGGAGAACCACAACCACCACCACCACCGCCAA